ATTCAGAAGAGAAATTGAGCAATCTTCAATTTTTTGTAATTATAATATCTATTAATTTATTTCATTAATGAAATTCTAAAGCAAATAATATTAACAAGAAATCGTATTTTAAAAAGAGAATCTGATTTGTCAAAAGTTTAGCAACAACATATGTATTTTTCTATCAATCTCTGCCTGTAATTTATATTTTTTTTTTTTTTATTTTGACCTTAATTTTGTCCCTTATACTGATCGAACTTATATTAAACTTGTTTCCACTTAAAAAATTATCATATTCATTGATTCCTAAAAAAATCAATCTTTTTACATTTTTTTTTATTTAACTAAATTTATTTGTATTAAAGTAGGATTATCAAAATATTTATTTATTATAACTATATAGTTAAATGCATTCATCTCTCAAGTGATATCTTATACTCATAAATATGTTTTCTTTAGAAATGGATTTGTCTAAAATTTAAATTATGCATACCCCAGTTTCTTCACGTAAGGAAAACCAATCATACTGAGGATTAGATTTTTTTAATCTGAAACAATTTAGTTGAAAAAAATTGATTTAAATTAAAAATAAGGAAACTGAATAATTATTATAAAGAAGGACACACATTAGAGAAGTAAGTTTTTTTTTTAATAATATAAAATTTGAATAGAAAGAGGTTTAACAACAAAGCAATTATTCTATAAAAAGATTTGCAAGCTTATAAAATATTTTAATCATAAAAAATAAAATTTGTTTCTTTCATTCGAATGCCACATGGGATAATTCGAAATTATTAGGAATTCAAAAAAAATTCTATCAAAAAATGTTTTTAAGCTATTAGAATAGGAAATAATGGAAGTTTGGTAATGGTTTGGAAAAAAATAAATTTCATTAAATCTAATTATAATTAGATTTTATAATTTTATTTATGAGATAATTATTCTCAAAGGAAAAAAAGTTAAATATAATAAATTTATTTGATTATCTTAAAAGAATGATAAAAGGCTAGAAGGATTATAGAATTATAGTTTATTAATAGGAATAAAAATTCAAATTTAAAAATAAATCTGTTTCTATTAATTTCTACTTAATGAAAGATCAATCAATATTAAAAAGGGAGAATGTGTTAGAAAAAAGAAGTTGCATACAAATGTTACAATGTTTTGAACTTCATAGTATTTAGAAGTTAAAATAATTATGTTATTGAATATGATAATGAACTCTAGATATTTTGGTAATTTTTGTTTGACTTAAATGAATTAAGAAGAATTGATATGAGATAAAAGTGTAAATTAACATAAATTATTTAATTTATTCAAATATAAAATTATTATATATATTTGAATAAATGAACAATCTTTATTATTAATTTTGAGCAAATTCAAGAGAAGAAAAAAGAAGTATCTCAAAAAGTTTAAATTAACTTTAAAACTAATTCATAAAAAGAAATTTTAATTAATCTTACTTAAAATAATTAAATCCAATATACTTTTGATAAAGGAATATTGAGAAGGTGTATCAAAATTTATAAAAATTGAATAGATTAATTGAACAAAAATGAATTAAGCAAGAGATGAGGCAGGTATAGTAAAATAATATGAAATAAATTAAATTACAAGTTTAATAAAAGAAAGGTAAATGTTCAATAATTATAAAGTAACAAAGCTTATTTACATGTAATTGAAAAAACTTCAATAAATAAAAAAGAGGGATTCGGAAGTTTATCTCTAAAAATTAAAAGATGCATTTATTAATAATTATATTTTTAGTTGTTATTGATCATCTAAAGAGTAAGGTCAGAAAGGGAAGTGGAATACTTTTTGTGACTAATTTTAGGATGGATTATAAATCACTTATGAGGGCAAATATAATAAAAAGTAGGTAATTGGAATGTTTTTTTTTAGATAAAATGATAAAGAATTTAACAAGATTTATTCAAATTTTCTTGCATTTTCTAATTTGTATCTCCTTTGACAAGACTTTCATAATTATTCAATATTAAAGTACAAATACCAGAAGAATGTCCATCCAATATGTGTTAGCAAATCCATTAATTATTTTGATTCATCTATCATATTATTATTAACTTATCATTACCTCCAGACACACAGTGATTTGATTTTTTCATAAAGTTTAAAGTCTACACATGTAATTAATGTTCACTTAAGAGTTATAATTGATTTAATTTTGATTCTTTGAGTTCAAATAAAACCTGCTACAACAATTGAATTATCTTTATTAATAGCAATTGCAAAGCAAAAGTCTTCTTACTTTTAAAGAGGTTTAATTCTTTAGTTCAAAAGTAAATGTTTAATATTTATGTGTTTACAAAATTTCTTTAACTATCTATTTAATTTCTTCAATTGATTATTGGAATTAGTTCTCCCATAACTAAATTAAATATAAATCTTTAATTATGTTGTCAATCTATTAAAGTCCTAATTCAGGAAAATATGCCAAATTAATATTGTATATATTAATAAATTTATTTAAAAGTCCTAAGCCTTCTATTCAACATTCTGGACAATAAGAGCTCTCTTAAGAATCCAATCATCTAAAGTTCTAATGATGTTAATTTGTTCAAGAGGTGATCATGATGAGGCAGACAAAAATTACAATAGGGTTTTTAATATTGGCAATCACTATCGATGCACACTCCTATTATTTTTTAATATAAATGATCAGCTTAAGTACTTCTAATTTACATTTTCTATTTCTATATAAAATAATTTTCAATAAATAAGTAATCATTTGTGTTTATAAAAATTCAAAATTACAATATAATACCATAAATTATATTCGAAACAAATTAAACAAGAGTATTTATAATAAATGAATGAATGGTCTAATTATTACAGAATAAAAAATTAAATTTAATGATTAGTAGTTAAATAGTTAAATATTGTTATTTTATAATATTCGAGAATTAAACAGGAAATTTATTTAGATCTCCTAAAAAAGGCCTCGGATTACATTAATATTATTTGAT